AAGTACTCCCGCCGTTCCAATTTATGTGACCTGTTTGACTGGGCATGGAGTTTAAGAAAAAATAATAACTTTTGGAATTTGTGGTCCTAAACAAGTCAAAAAGGAGCCAGAGTATTTGTGTGGTTATAAAAGCTTCTCATTAAGGGTATAATTGTAAGTTTAAGCTAAATTGTTACAAAATTTAGAAAGAGATCATTCTTTTTGGAGCAGACCAAAAAGAAAATAGGTTTACATAAACTGGAACAGAGGGAGTACTATATATATATATTTATTTTTTTAAAAAGAAAAACATATAAACCTATAAAATATATAGTATTCCTAAAAAATGGGGCCTCCCAAAATTGGGGGCCTAAGGCACTTGCCTTACCCCATACACCTATAGAGCCGGACCTGATTTTTAGGACTTGGTATTTTTAGGATCTTTTATTTAGTTTTTTATTTTTAAATGTCAGATATTTACACTATTAGAGGCGACCCAGTCGCCTCAAAAATACCTTCAGCGGCGACTCTCTATTAGTTGCTGCTAAATATTTGGAGCCAAATTTTTTGTCATAGCGGGAACAAAAAATTCAGAATTTAGTGGCGCATATTAGAGGCGACCTGCAAAAGTCGCCGCTAAAAGTTTTTATTTTGTAGCCACTTATTAGGTCTCCACAATTAATATACCATTTGTAGCAATAAATAAAGTCGCTACTAAATATCGCCACTAAAAGACAGATTTCTTGTAGTGTAAGAGATGAAGAAACAATCAAGTATTAGGTTTGTTTAAGTATTAGGGCTATGAAGAGGGTGAAATATACCTTAGGATTTTATTTTCGGCCATCTAGGGTGTTTAAATATTAGGGCTTTGAAGACCTTATTATATGAAAGATATATGGTATACACAATCAAGTATATGTATATTGATGAATAAATTTGAAATATATGCGTGTATACTACCAAAAAAAAAAGGTGAAAAAATACGTTATGGGAAAGAGGGTTTGTATGCTTGATATTTTCCATGTATTGGGAAGACAAGCATTCAATGGATGAGGGTGAAACAAGGAGAGAAATTCAAAACGTAACGGGAAGGGCAGTTTTGGTATAAAATAGCGCAAAAACCCTAATTTGGGAGTGATTTTACATTAATAATCCCATTTGGGCCATTATGGCCAAAAAAGGGGGAAAATCTCACTTTATACCCATTAAGCTCAAACTATTTACCCTTTAATACCCAAGCCTAAACTATTTACTTTTCCTAACTATGCAGCCCAAACTATATGCCCGACCCACCCATCTCCTTATTTGAAGTACAGAATGTTAAACATTCGACTTCATTTTTACAAGATTGCCTGGTAGTGGACTTGAATGGTTCTACTTCTTCTCTGCCAGATCGATCTTCATTAAGATGGTCAACCCAAGCTATTGCTCTACCTCCTTTCTTTATGATTTTTGTGTGTATGAAGACCCACCATTGTTGAGCTTGAAGCTTCTAAATTTGAAATTTTATTTTGAAGATTTAATTTATTGTTTGATGTGCTATAAATATTGCTTATAGTACCTTTGAGTAAGCTTCCCAAATCTGAATTTCTATGTGTGTTTGAATATCCACCATTGTTGGCTTGAAGCTCAATTTTTGATTTTGAAGATTTCTTATTTGATTCAAAGTGGGTGCTACTAAAAATTGCTTATAGTACCTTCTGGAAGTACTGAAATTTGATCACATTTGAAGTTGATTTGAGATGATTGAGATCGAATATTTTCGCTGAAAATCGAAGAAGAACATAGTTATTTAATAGTATACTGCTACGTTATACAATATGTTGTAGGAGCATATAGCTATATTGTAACAATATACTATTATAGTATACAATATACTGCAACGGTATACTATAATAATCGAAGAAGAACAACAAGTTACCTAATAGTATACCATTATGGTATACAATATACTGTAGGAGTATATAGCTATAATGCAACTGTATACTATTATAGTATATAATTCACTGTAACGATATATTGTAATAATGTGCAATATACTGCAACAGTATGATGTAATAGTATATGATATACCATAATAGTATACTATTTTAATGTAATAGTGTAATGCTGAATGATGAACATAAAATATCATTTTCATATATTGTATGCTATTTTGGTATATAATATATAATTCAATAGTATATAGTTTATTACAATAATATATTATTGTAATATACAATATGATGTTATAATTTATTACATGGCAATCACGTGTTAATTCTTAGAATCTGATTATGTAATTTATGGTGCTCAGCAGCAGTCAGTGTGATATTCAGTGAATTAGACCAAGTGACAACTGATATTATTTTAATTTAATAATTGAATTTAAAAAATAAAAAAAAAAAAAAGACAAAAGGTATATTATACTAGTTATATTAAAAAAAAAGGTGAACAGAAATTAGATTATGAAGAGAAAAGAATATAAAAAAAAAGTTAAATGAAATTAGAAAAGAAAAAAAATAAAAAATAAGAAGAAAACGAGAAAAAAGAAAAGGAGAAAAGAAAGAAAAAAGGAAAAAAGAAAAAGAAACATAGAAATAAAAAAGAATTGGAGAAAAAAGACAAAATTCCCCATAAAAACTACTATGGTAGGAAATGTAATTAGTTTGTGGGTAGAAAAACAAAGGGTAGACAAGAATAAATAGTTCTATTTTTGTGAGTAATTGTGTCATTCTCCCAAAAAAAAAGTGTGACTGAAAGAAATTTTCCCTTCTAATAATTGGTCTAGTAAAAGCTGTTCTAATTATTATGAGATATGAGAAGAAGAAAAAACACAAAATTGGATGCTTGTTATACAGCCATAAAACTGAGGGTGTTAGAGAATATATTTGCCTTTCATTAGTTGTAGGGGTGTTCAAAACCGAACCGAAATCGAAAACCGAATCGAAACCGAAGCTTAATGGATTATTGGTATCGGGTTAACGGTTTAACGGACAGGGAACGTTGAAATTTTTTTATTAACGGCTTATCAGTTTGGGGCGGATTATTCAATTTTCTTAACGGATAATCCGTTAACCCGTTAAGAATATATATATATATATCAAAAAACCTTCCACTTCCAGTACTCTATCTCTAACCCTAGTTTGGGGACCGTAACAACAGGCAGATGCTCATACGATCTAGTTATCAATGATAGAGTTCTCCACTTGGATTAAAGCCAAAAAGACATAGTCTTAGAGCTTTACGGTAACTTATTCCCACTCGGTCATCCTGTCATATCTTTGACACTCAGCTCATCTTCTCATAAGCTCATGTGATACTAAACTTAGCGCCTCTCATGACAGTTGACAGATGTACACCTTAACCTTAGAACAGTCGTGTCACCTTGCTTGAACTATTTAAACATTCTCTATAACACACCTATTCCCCTAAATAGAAGGAAATTTTTAGTAATTAGCACTTCATAAGAAGTCATACACCATCAGACCTCCTTAAAGGATATAATTATACCTATCTTTGTCCTTGTCCAACGTCTTACAGTAACCTTATCATGGTTGCCACTCTCTATGCAACGTGTTATGCTTTTTTCACTCTACAACACATGACACACTACATCATTCTTATGCAGGCGTTAACAGAAATGTATGTTTGGACTCAATGTGTAATTTTCTATTCTGAATTTGTATACTAAGCTGTCGGCAAACAATTAATGCACGCAATATAGATTGAATTAGGCCGATAAGCCGCCCGATAACCGCCCGATAAGAGCTAAACCGATACCAATCTGCCTGATATCTTATCGGGTGGCTAGGGATTAATACATTTAAAAGTCGATAACCGATAAGCCAAACAGTTAAGAGTAAATAATCGCCCAATCTGCCCGATAAGCAGCCCTAATTAGTTGTATAGAGATTTGCAAAAAACTTTCTAGTATCTTAGGTTATTCCACCTATTGCCTTTAACACTCTTACCAATTTCGATTAATGTGCAAATTCTCACATTTAACACCAATGCTTTTATTGCTCTCAGGTAGTGATTGATCACTCATTACTGAACATTAATTGAAGGCAGCTAGAAATGAGTACATATCCCTTTTGGGAATCAAACTTGTGTCTCCAAGATGAAAAGAGGATGTCCTAACCAAGGGACCAAAAAGTCATTCTTCGTATACCTCAACTCCCAGAATAGAAAGAGTTGGTTCTGTTTCAATACGGAAGTCAAGATTTTGTTCATCTACCAATTTGGCCTTCAATTTCTCCTTCAAACTCAAAGATACAATGTTAAGAGCCTATAGATCTTATTCACGTTAACTCCTACAGAAATGTCTCAGCACAGGCTTTTATAAAGTACCAAACATTTGCTTCTTCTTCTTATGTGAATCGTTGTTATCATGCGTGCATGTTTTTGCTACGCTTCATTTAAAGTATCAAGGTTGTGAAGTCTAACGAAACCAATACAAATTGTGGCTACAGTGCCACTCGATTAAAACAGTACAATTAATATGCAGTTCACTATCAGTTTCTCGATTTTTAAGGAATAGTATGAATTTTATGATTCTGGTCAAAAGTGCTGAGATTTCAATCATTTTTCTATTTAGGATTTTAATGTTGCCCAAGTTGTGTGCATATCTTCTTAATGCTGGGGGTGAAAATCCACTCCTCCCCACTGCATCTTCAACTAGATAAGGCTTGTGCTTGTAGACACTTCCCTCTCTGCTTCAAATCCTACTAGTTGTTTACAACCCAAGCAGCAATTGGACAACTTCACTTCTTTCATTTGTACAAACCTAGCAAGCTTTTCTCCTTTTTATTCTGGATGTCAAGTTTGGTGCAGGTTCTACTTAATCTTCTTGCGATTGCATTTTCAATGGATATGTAAGCTGTTGTTTAGAGAACTAGCTCCATCAGAACTCAACTCCAAAAATCAAAGGAAGAAATTTTCTAACTTCCTTGAGTATTTTGTGCTCATTCCGAATTACTTGTTTCACCTGACGGACAGATTGAGGCAAAAGAAACAAAAAATACACCAACTCACACTGAAGAAAATTATTCACCATAAAGATTATGTTAACGACTATTATTAATGTAGCCAAAAATTGTACAAAGTGCTGTTATCACAAGAGCCAAGACGAGCCTTGCCTTCCCATTTCTTTTCTTGCCAATTCCCCAGCAAGGCAGGAATTCCTATCTAATTAATCTAGATGGCAGATCTGTTCAAGTATGTGGTATACCTAACAACTAGAAACTCTTCCATAGATTGGAGGCTGCAGTAGCCCAAAAGCGACAAAAGCAAATCTAGCTAGGTTGCCTTGCACTATCTTGTGTCAAAAAGGTCCAAAGTCCAGAGTAAAAGATTATATTTGGAAATCAATCATGCCACTTCCTTGCTCCTCTGCAGCCTCCAGTACTGCAAGAATTGAATGATGATCTGCAGATATTGACGGTTGTAAAATATTTTTAAGACTTCTATATATCTCTTCAGGTGCCTCCTTATTTCGATCATGGCTGCCATGCATTTTTCCTGTCACCTTAACTTGATTTTTCCTTCTCGTGCTTGACTTTGAATCTTCCTTGTGGTGAGGTGAGTGCAATTCAGAAGTACATTTGTGAGTGGAATCACCAACATTTTTGGCTGCATGGCATACAAACATTTCAGAAAACATGTTGTATAAGTACTTTGAGAAAAGGTGTGCAAAGTAAAGATTGCTATTGAAAGAAAGAAATGGCATATAAGGTATCTCTATAAACACGAAACAAGTAGCATTTAATCCAAGAATCAAATGCTTTGACATCTTAACGGTTTAGGTCTCTGTGATTAAGATGTTTGATTTTACATTCATATATATCCTCTAAGCCTAGTTTACTTCATTGTGTTTGTGATGCACATGTAAAAGAGCATGCTAAATGCTATGCCATGCAGTCCATTTACTGTTTAGCCATGCTCGTTTACTATACTACACATTTCTTGTAATTCCAAGGAAAGAAATAGAACAATGTACTTTGTACAACTTGATACTACCAAAAGTTAATGCAGCTGGACATAAAGAATAACAGATAGAAGCAATAGACAGTACAGGAAGGCTATCTTCTCGGTGGAAGGTGTGCATGCCACTATCCTTCTTTTTTGCAGTTTTTGAGTTCAGAATCACAATCATTCAAATCCTAAGCAAAATACAGCGTCACTCTTTTGAAATTTTACTAGCTAGAAAACTAAGGAATGGTGATTAGTAAGACTGGAGAAAATGTTTTCAAGATGTACAGGGGATTGTTTTCCAGTAAGTATTCAGAGCCTAAATCTGATGCCTTAGACCACTAGGCAATTCTGTCAGATTGAACCACGGCATTTATTTTATGATACTGGTCAACCTTTCATGTAAGAGGCACTTACATATGTCTACGCTGGAAGACTCTTGCTTTGCCAAAGGTGAATTAGCACGTCTAATGCACAACCACGTCCTTTCTTCTTCAGATTCTTGTTGTGAGACAATTGGTACATGCCAGTAGCCTTTTTCTGACTCCTGGAGACATAAGGAACAAGATTACATCTGATAGTTGTGTTAAATGACATGCAAGTACTACATAATAATGTTCTTCTCCTATATGTGCTCAATCTCTGCTATTGATTTTATTAGTGCAAATCGAGAAGAATGCCCCACCTATATTTGTATTTTGGTTCATAAAATTGATCATGAGCAAATTATTTGCTATGTATATTCTGAAGCAGATCAAGTAGGAGGCAATAATGACCTGAATTACAACAGAACACGGAGGCGGCATGTGAAGTACTGGACCTGTTTCAGAGAAACTGAAATGCACCTTCAATTAAGAAAACAAAATTCCTTCATCAGAAAACTGTGAAACGTACAAGCATATTTGAATTTATAGCATATACATCATGAAATGGAGGTATCCCATATCAAGTAAGCTAATTAAAGAAAGATGGCTCATGTTGCTTCATGGATAGAATAAGAAGTGATATGAGGGACAATTTATAACAAAAAGCAACGACGACTAGAGGAGGTTGTTTCCCAATGGTCAATAATAGGCCATTGTCACCATTGTGCTGCCTAGACACAATTCGATGCCCGCAACCAATTTTCTCCTCTCCCTCACCCCTCACATCCCTGGGGGCCCTTTCCCTAATAAAATAATTCCTCTACAGCTCTACCTTGGAGCTTACCTTTTATCGATGCAATATAACATCAGTCAAAAGAAACGAATATATTGCTAGATAGTTAATATGCCATGACTGTCTTGCTACTTTCTTGAACCTCCAACATGCATATTAGAACGAAAGTTCAATATTTCATGCAGACATATTTCTGAAGTGTAGAACTCACCTGATGCCGTTCTTTCCACTTTGGGAAAAAGTCATTTCCCAGAAGTTGAAACAAATGGTCCCTCATTTCATCATTCGTCACAATTAAGCACTTAAATTTTATAGCTGCATACAGCCAGTACCTGAAGAAACAAGTTAATTCGCCATCAGAATATAAATGAAAACGAATTAGAATGCAAGGCACTCAGACTATACACAAAGCATCCTAGAAATAAAAGATTACAGCTCTCACCAATCATCATTGGAGCCTGTAGGTGTTGCATAGATTGCATCAGCATTTTTCCACTTGTCAATTAAAGCTCTATTGAATGGTTCATCCATCTTATCTCCAGTAATACGTCTATTATGCAAAACTATCAGCGGCCACTTTTTCGAAGGAAGCATCTGGCGAATTCCGTTGACAATAGCATTGACCTGAATGCAAATGATCAATTAGATAAAAAAACAGAAGACCTGAATTTTTGAAAATACAGGGGTATCATGAATATATCATGTTTCATTAACAAGGCATCCAACATTTACCTTAGATGGCCTAAAATTTCTTTGGCTGTAAAGGCCAACATTTGCTCCATCAACAATAGCTTCAAAGGGTCCATAATAGTCAAGCCATTTCTGCAGTTGTTTCACCCTCACTAGAGACACAAATGATCCAAGAATAACCTATTCATTAGAGCAGTTAGTAAAACTCACTTGAAATTTCTGGAAGCTTGAATTTCTCTCTCTCTCCGCAGCTATAGAAGCAACTGACTTGGCAAAATTTTCAGTTTCTACAGGATCAAGATCAATGGTCACCAACTTCTCACCACAGCATTTGCAGCAGCCGTCAGAGTCAACAGATGCGCGTGATACAGTCCATTTACCACTACCCAACCAGCCTTGTCCATGCCACCCACCACCTCCATTTTTAATAGGTTCGCGTATGGATCTTTCATCCCATTTTCTTTTCCCAACCCTTGAAGCTATCTTGCTGTTGAACCACTTCTCAATCAAATCTGCAGTAGAAGGTGAGACTTGTCGAACTCCTTCTCGAAGCTTATGCAACAAATAGTACACCTTATCACTCCTACCAGCTTCTACACTTACTTTTAAAAGTGCCTCCAGTTCGGGTTCCTCTGGATAGACACCATGCTCCAACATGTGCTCTTCAACCATAAATGCCTTGTCAACATCCCCATTGTTGCAGAAAACAGATAAGGCAGGACCATAAGATCGCAGCCTCGGGTTTATTCCGTATTCTTTAATTAGCCTTACCACATCAAATGCCATGTCACCATTTCCCAATGCCATTGCCATTCTTGCAACAGATGTAAGGGTTGCTTCATTCATTTGTACCTTCTCTGACCGCATCTTCTCATATATCTCAAAACCATATTTAAGTGCATAGTTTTTCACATCTTCACTCACTTTAATTCCATGATCACTTATTGTATTAGAAGCTTCTGCACTGCTCTTGAACAATTGCACCAATTCATCTAAAGTTTGACAGTGACTATCTGAAGATAAGCTCAACATATTAGTCAAGTTTGTTACTCTGCCATTGTTTGAAGCTTTGATTTTCACAGAAGTGCTAGAGCATGTTCCCTTGGGCAAGTCAACAGAATTCAAAGTTCTATTACTACCACTTCCACTTTTTGCTGGCTGAACAACACCAGTAGCTGCAGAAGCACAAAGATAGAGAAGAACAGCATAGTGATACTGTCCCATTGCTATTCCTTCTTGCAATGCCAACTCATACAGCCTAATTGCACCAAGTACATCCCCTCTCTTTGAACACATATCCAACCCAATCTTAAATGTTGAATCAATTTTACTCTTCTTTGACCCCTTTTCCATGTTTTCCCGATTACCACCATCTTTTCTAACTTTTTTCTCAAAAGTTTCAGTCTTGGACTTATTAGAACCCAATTCTCTACTTCTTTTAGGTTTTAATCCACTCTTTGCATTTCTGTCTTTTAGAATGACTGTTTTCCCACCTAAATTTTCTCTTGAAGATTTCATGCCAACCATCTTATCTTTGGGACTAAAGGAAGAAAACCCAGAACTATTTTCATTATTAGTTCTACTATGTTTTCTATTGCCTGATATTTCTTGCTCTGGTTCAACGGACAATCTTGTTTCCAAGTGAGTGACATGTGCTTTAACTTGAATGGAGGGCAAAATTCTTGGTGTGTATTTAGTTGGTGGAGAAAGGAGAGTATGAGAAGAAGAGTGAAACTTGAAAGAATGCTTACTGCAGTGAGTGAAGTAATAGAGTTGAGTTTGTTGAAGGGATTTGAAGGTGATGTAGGAGGTAGAGGCCATGTGTGGCCGTTAGCGAAGCTTAATATCAATGTCGGATTTCAGCTTATTATATTAGGATGTTGAAGTTGAACTCTTTAATTTACTTTCGTGCCCCTAGCTCTTTCCGAGGATAAGATGTCTGCTATCTTTTTCTCATTGATCTCATCCTCCTTCCCAGAAAACAAAAAAAAAAGAAAAACGTAACATCCTCGGATTAATAAAATATGAAGTTTAAGATGTTAATTGATGTATTGTATTAATAGCATAAAACAATATAAGTTAAAAATTATAATAATAAAAAGCATCACATTGAAATTTAAACCTGAACATATAAATAAATTTAAATTTCTTAAAAGTTAAACAGAATATTATTTTAGTAATAAAATACTAGTATCAACCATTTAGATCATCCTAGAGTAAACAAAAAGAAGTCGTAAAATTTGGATAGACTATGACATCATCCCTCTACTTCTCCAAATTAGAGAAGAGGAGGGGAGAATGATTAACTATGACAAATTAATGAAATTATATCAAATGTTTTGAAACTTATCTAGAAATATTACCTTATAAAAAGTTATAAACCTATATATGGCCATTTCAACAAAACAACTTACTAGCTCTATTTGTCCTTCCTTTTTTCCTCCAGAAATCTATTGCGAAACTCAGGCTGAGCCCCTCATCTTTTGTTAGATTTTAAACCGTTGATAAATTTTGCGGGAAATTTGTGGCTCGTCAAAATGAGAAGAAAATAACAGTTCTCGTTTCCCCTTTTAAAACTAACTTTAGCAAAGATTTTGAAGGAATGACCCCATAATAGTCTATGTTAACCAAAAGTCCCAACAGCTTATATTCCTCTATTTTATTCCTTCGCCAATCAAAAACATCTGAGAAAAGTATACTAGTAGTAACTTTCAGCAGCAACTTGCACCATTCGTAGTTCTCCAGGATTGCAAATAAAATATCATTCTCCATTGTATAACAATTAAGCAGCATCGAATCCACTAACAATTGCAGTCAATCAAGAGGAGACAGTGGTTCCCTAAGGTATTATTCGTTAGGACAAGCTCTGAGAAACCTTTGACGCTAAAGAGCAAGATACATACATGAACCTAACAGCACGAAGAGATAGGCCAACAAACTTGTTTACATAGATGCATAAAACTTGTAAAGTAGTGATTGCATTTATGATTTACACAACGACTTGGATAAAGGCATAGTATATGTACTACAGAGTATTTAGCATAAATGTTTTAGTTAAGAAACCAGGAAAATCATCAAAAATGCTGTTGATATATGTTATAGAATTACAAAGAAAACCATCTTCACCTTTTAAGTCCAACAAGAGCTAGTAACCTAAATTCCTATTGAACTTAAACCACCAAGGCAGCATTGTCTCAAAAGGTGGAGTCATAAAGGCAGTGACATGCCTGCAACATAGAGAGAAGCTTCAATAAGTATATCCAAGAGCAACGCAACAGATTACAAACTAGAAGAAATTGATGACAAACAATAAAAATGCAAGAAGAGAAAGTGGTTCCATGCCCAAAAACGATCAAGAGCAAAGTCAAGCAGCATCTATTTCTATGTTTAAGCTTTCTTCCTGAATGACACCTTCGTTTACACCACAGAGTTCCTCGACATCTCTATTTTAGGGGTTTATTTAAGACTAAAGGAAACAGATATGTGTTAAAGATGAAGTATTCTTATATGCATGAAAGTCCAAGAAAAATGTACCAAGGCAAGTGATTCGAGTAACTACAGATGAACAGGAGAAATCTCCCCC